ACAGTGTATAGGAAGGATAGGTAGACACATTTTCGACCTTTTGTGTCCGATAAAAATCACAGATCTGCTACCTATGTATATCTGTAGTACGAAAATGAAAAACACGATTTTGTAATGAGATATTAAAAGATCCAAAAATTGATAATAATTTTAAGTCGATGGAATTTTGCCTTCTATTCAAAAAGTATGTATGTATGTATATATTTGTCCATGGATGGATATGTCGCTATGGCCCCAACCATACAGAGAATAAGAGGAAGATATATCGATATAGGGGTAAGAACTCGACTTCGGAAGCGAGAAGACGTGGGTAATAAGATATGAAAAGGAACTCAAGTGTAACTGAAACTAAGAATAAATTTTATTCCTGATTACTCAGTACTACTCACCGAGTATCCCTACCTAAATAATGTTTGTTCCTACGGGAAAATGACAAGGATTTTCCATGAATTATTTCTCTATAGAAAATTTGAATCTGGTGATTAAAAGCCTTACACTTGTACCCATCCAACGTATTTTCCAAGTGCAAATGTAAAAAACTATTTAGCAGTAAAGACAATTTTTAAAATAGTTTGTAAAAGGTAATAATTTACTAATGTGGGTCCTAATATAGACACCAACTACACGCATATAGATATAGATAGCGTACTGAATATTTATATAGATATTTCCCCTGTATCCCAGTATTTGAGCAATCATTTGAGCAGCAAGTAAAAGTCAATCTTTTACGACGTCTGCACGGTGTGCATCGACAAGTGGTGTTCCTTCAGGTCCATTATCAGCGGATGCTTACAGCAGCATATAACAATCCTCTGTCACTGTAGTCGCTTTATCACACCCATCGATTTAAATACATATGTAAATATGTGTCAATGTGAAAAATCCATTTAATTCCTTTTTGCAGAACACACTTTTATTCATGGCGAATGATTATAGCTTTGGAATGCACATATGGATCTGGCTCTGAATTATCTACTATTAATGCCTATTTTATATGTGTTTTTATGTAACCCGTAACCCATGCACACACATGTACAATTAGCACACAGCCATTGCGGAAGGTGTGCGAGCTCTGCTCTTCAGTGAGCGCGCCAATTTGTTTGTGTAAGGGATTATAGCTGGATATTTGTACATTTATTACTCCGCGTGCACTTTGAGATCCGAGCTGCAACAATTTGTTTGCGCACCAAGTACAAAATCGGCGCGGGCTAAGCCATTGAATAAGCATGATTTATTTGTCGAGTGTGTCAATCAGCAAGCGGGATCTTTCCTTCCGGAATCTCATCTGCCTGTGGCTCAAGCTCGTTTTGATGTCGACACCGCTGATTTGAGCCCACTCTGCAATCACTCCCTTGCCGATGGGAACTCTGATTTCTGACTCAGACACATTTGGCCACCATTATTCGTTATGTACTCTGCCCGCTTATTGTCCAGGGCAGGGACTGGCGTTAGAGGCATGCGGAGGAAGCGGAAATGTTTCAGGCGAGTGTCTGTGATTGCAGTCGCCTGGTTAAACAGCACTTGCGTACTCTTTTATAGGTCTGTACGACTCGCATAGTAACAGTACTACTTCTGTACACACAGTCAGGGCCTGGGCTCTCTGGCTTGTCACGCCGCACTTTCACCGACACTTTCACTGGCAGGCCACAGGGGCGGTCACGTCACTCGTACTCCAGGCCACAGCTGGCATCTGGCCACCAAGCGCGACTGAAAATTTATGGCACGCATTTGGTTGTGTGCTCGATTTGATTAATGTTGTGACAATTTTACAAGTGTCGTACTACCAGCGGTCTGTGCGGCTCGGCTGAAGTTCGAGGGAAGGGTCCACATTTTCCCAATGACCAACCGCCCGAGTGCACCGCCCATTTCATAATCACCAAACTAAATCTAGTCGATAGTAGGGCTCGTGCGAATTTTATAGGATGCCCCTTCGAATATTTGTATCTAAGTGTGCCTTAGACTCGTACAAATATCCCAGTTCCGCCCATTCTCCCGTACGAAATGATTGAGGCGTTTGAATAATCCATTTGTCAGCAAGGCTAATTGTCGCTGCTGTGAGAATGGTGTGTCTGTGGGATTGGCCAAAGGAAAGGTCCCGCCGCACTGGGGACCGTGCACGTCGAAAACCATGGGGCATGCGAAAGGACCCTTTCTCCCACACAAATGGCTTTATTGTGACATTTCATTTTTACGCCCAGTGCCTGCAGATGGTCGTGATTAATTGTCGCTGAGCTGTCGGACTGACGACTCGGATAAAGAGTTGCGCGCCTGATTTCGCTAGCCTGTGACAGCAGACAACAAGTCGAAAATGGCATGGCCACGCCCACGCCCATGGCCCAGCAATGTGATTTCCATGTGTAAAATTGTACGCTGGAAACTTGTTGTTGCCGCCACTCGGCGTCCTTTGGGCCTGATCTCTCGCGGCATGTCAGCGATAATCAGTTCGCAAAGTTTCAGCCGCGAATCCAACCGCAATTTCCGCTCCACCAAGATAAACGACTCTAGCGAAAGCGACAGCAACAGCAACAGCAACAGCGATAGCGACAGCGACAGTGACAGCAACAGCTCCCACTGCTAGTGAATGTTGAGTGTGTGGCCCACGTGCGGCAGTTTACAATTTACAGAGCATAATTTATCTGGAATCAATATTTAAACAGAGGCCCGCCATTCAATATGCATCTGTGTCCAATTGAAATCGACGTTCCCATTCAGCCATTAGGGTGCACAGGGTGCTTGATGGCAAGAAGCTGCCTCTCAACCAGGCCCAGGCTCGGCCCAGGCCGTGCCAAAGAGTGTAAGAGACGGATTGGCATGGCTCCGTTGCAGGCGTTCCCCCGAATCCTCCGGTCACATTGCATTTATTATGTATGCATCAATCAAACCAGGACTTTCGATTGCAATTAAAATTCAAACACAACCCAAAAGCCAGCCATCGCAAATCATGAAACCGCAAGTGGCTTTTCGCTCGTTTTCCGGATGGGATAACTTCAATCAGGCAAACATCGTCGAAATCGATTCATTCGATATCTCGGCGTTGGGTGTGTGCAATATACAACCAGATTGGGGGCCTCCATGCCGCCCTGCCTCCGTGGCACCATGCCAGGACCCACATCCACTCAACGCATGCATGTTTCAGTGTGTTAACCTTTAACCGGTCGACCTGTGGTTGCCTGACTCTCCCACTCCCGCTTTTCCCGCTCCCGCTCCCGCTCCGACCTTCCCTGTGTGCGATGTATTTATCTTGGTTTTATGCAAATGCCCCTGGCTGTTGATTGTCATGGAATCTGGTGCTTAAGCATGATTTCGTTTCATCTTGAGCATTTTTTCTGGCTTCAGACCAAAAGCAAGTGCTCCCGATTGTGAGCCAAATAGAGTTTATACACTAAAGTGTATAAAGTGCTTGAAGCACATAGGTATAAGAAACTGTCTGATCCTCGATTACGTACTTATGCCACACTCCTGAGTAGTGCTTGGACTTGCAAAGCATTGAATGTCGAACAAATACGAGTTAATCACTCGAAGTATCATTGTTGCATTTGAGCGTGCAGCTAGTGTTTTTCAAATTGATTTCAAGCTGCTGTAGAGTAATCACCAAAACTAATTGAATTTTTCCGACAACTGATTTCAAAGTTTTTGTCTGTTTATTTAATAGACTATTTAAGGCATGCATATTGAACCAATTACATTCCAATAAAGTAAAACTTGGCAAGCAACCTTCTGAAAGTGGCTTTACCCTGGAGAAAGTCAAATCACATCCTAGACGAAAAGCCATAGAAATTAGCTCGTTATTTTTCTAGTTGGTTCGCTGGGGATCAGCCACAAAGGGTGTGGCTCGTGTTTTCAAAGAATTCTAAACAAACTAAATATTTTGTTGTGTTTTTTTCGCCATTTCCATATGGAATAAGGCATCACTATTAAGGATTACACTTGGTATAAAGAAAGAAATACATATACTCCGCTTAAGCCATCAATAGCAAATCTTAGATTAATATGTTATCGCTTTTTGATGGTTTCCATTCGGAATCTGAAATTTGAATCAAATGTAATTTAATTTAATGAAAATTAGAGGCATAGGTAGATACTTTTAATTTTTTATAATTGGCCGGTCCACGGAGTCGTTGTTAATTTATAACATTTTTGTATAATTTACATGCGAGGACCAGACGCGTGCGTAATTATACGAGCACACATACATACATACTCATATCTACATATATGTATGTATTTGTTCACATATATATATGCTCAGGGCCACGGTGGCTAGTAATTTAGCAAAACAAAAAGCGGTCATAAGTGCTTGTCCACACTCAGCTGATGTCAATAGTTACATAAATTAGATTCAAATTAGGTCTTCAGAGCAGCAATTTCGGCATCAAAGAGTGGACGAAACCGCGCTGCCAGCCCGTGGCCCATGTGTTGCGCACTCGCGTGTGGTATGCGTTCCATTATAAGAGAATCTAAACGCTCTCCTACATGATTTGTAAAGGCATGCAATTTTAACTCTATTTGAAGTGCAATAAATGATAAAAACAAAAAACAAAATTATCGCATGCAGTACATATTTTACATAACAAAATATATAACAATATTAACAAAAAAATAATTAAATAAAAAATAAATAAATAAAAGGAAACCTTGAGAAAAGCACACAAGGTAAGCCAACAATATAACCAAATATAACAAAAATATCCGCATAGAAAATGTACTGTTCTATATTGTGAAAAAACATCAAAAATATAATAAATAAAAATTCTAAAAATAAAAAACATACAGAATATACTAGTGGAAACACGAAGTGCACGTGCACACGAACAAGAGAAACAAGAGAGCGTCCCACTTCTACGGGAGGAGAGAGAGAGCAAGAATGAGAGAGAGTGAGCGTGAAAAGCGCAGCTGCAGGAAACTAGAAGGAAATGAACATGAACAAACATTTTCCGACACTCTGTCGGGTTCAGTGGTACCTTAACATCGCAGCCGCGGAGTCGAGTCGGAAAACTGACGGAAGAATTGCGCGAAGTCGGAGTGCTCGGAGTACAGACCAATTCGTTCGCCTTGTCTTGTGAGTTCCTGTGTTTGTGTGTGTCTCGGACGTCTCCTGCGTCTCTTGCGTCTCTCTGCCTGTCTCCGTCGGTGGCCATCGCCGTCGGCGTGACATCAGCATCACCGCAAATGCTGTTGACACTTTGGAAGGCCATACCATACCCGCGTCAAGAGTCGCCTCCTTCGGCAAGCAGTCGTTGAAGCCGTTGCGGTCGCGCCAAATTGGAAAAGTAGAGCACTGAAGCCGTCCGGAGAACATCCAATGATCGCGCAGCGGTGTCGGAGTCTTTGTCTCGTGGCCTGCGCCGTTTCCGTTTCCGTGTCTGTTCCAGTTCCAGTTCCAGCTCCAGCTTCTGCTTATGCTACAGTTATACGCGAATTCTGTGCAATGCACATAAATTTACAGCTCGGCCAGCGGCAACGTGCTAATTAGAATACGTTAATTTTCCTGCCTGTTCTCGTGTACGTGTTCTCCTGTGCATCTGTGTGACTGTGTGACCGTGCGCCGGAGCGCTGGAGCGCCGGGGCGGCCAGTGCAGTTTTCAGCTTGTGAAATTGGCCAAAAATTGAGCGCAGGCTGAGGCGGAGGCTGTGCAAATATTTGCCAGCGCCGAGCGCCATGCCATCGAAAGCCAAAGCCGACCAAATGAAAGCAACAAAAGCAATTATGCAAATATTGCAAAAATAACGGCAACAGTGTGTTCGAGTGCGAGTGAGATTTCATGGTGCGAGAAGAGTCCGGTCCGGTACGGTCCGGTCCGGTTCGGTTCGGTTCGGTCCAGTCTGTGTCCGCGAATGTGGTTCGCCCGTTGCCAACTCGAATTCATTAGCATAAACGGAGGCGGTGCTCTGTTCCGGGTCTGGCTCTGGTTCTGGTCCTGGCCCAGAGCCCGGTTCTCATATTCTTATTCCTGTTCCTGGTCAATACACGCATACTCTTGTACATGCATATGTAGATATGTACATACAGACGTACATCGGTACACATGGCGCAGCGGCAGACCCTCTGTCTGTGGAGTAGGGGGAGCACAATTAGCGGCAAAGTCCACAAAATCGACTAATCAAACAAATAGACGCACGAACGGCGCAGAACTCAAATTAAATTGGGGGCATTTTTTTCACGCCTCTGCTGCCGGCGACCACCAGGATGGCGCCTGCGTTGCTTTATCGCTCACGTCGGGTTGGGGCTGGCTGAAAGGCTGGATGTTGGGGAATCGGGTATGGGGTATGGGGTATGGGCTCTGGTCTGGCCGCAGCATTCGCAATATACGCCTAATCTATTTTCATCGCTTGACTTACTTTAATCTAGATGCTGCCCTCGGAGAAGAACAAGATTGAGGCAGCATAGCATAGCATAGCAGGCAAAGTCAGCTGGATGTCAGAGGTACAATCCTGCCACCGCCATCTCTCCCTCCGAACACAGTGCAGTCAGTTCTGGTTGGGAATGGAGATTGCGTCTGAGTGGGGACCGAGGACCATGTGACCGGCGTCCGCATCAGCTCGAGGCTTTGCATTTTCCGTCGTGAAATTAAAAGTAATTTTTAAGGATTTATCAGGGATTTGCCGCATTATCGTCGACCATCCTGACTGTGCAGAAGCATTTTTTGGTTTCAGATTCGGATTATAAATTGATATTAATACGCGTAATTTACATTTCTGCCACTTACATCGACGGCAGGCAGCAGGGACAACCGCAGCCTCCGCCTCGGGCTCTGTCTCAGACGGCTCCTTCGCTTCTGTGCCGCTCGGAGCACTCTCAGTCTTGTCATCTCTGTCTCTGTCTCTGTCATCCCCATCCCCCAGCCAGCCCCATATCTCCCAACACCAAATCCGCAGCCGGGTTTGTCGGAAACTTCAGTTTCGCGTTGCGCGTGTAATTAAATTATCGCAAGCTTATCGTGCTAGATGAGATAGAAGACGTGGCAAGTGGGAGTGGGTCGCCACTAACCCAAAAATGGCGGAATATTCGCAATAGCGGAATCTCAATTCGAGTTAATTACTCGGATAGCGCCCCAGCAACTTTAAGTTAATTATTACACGCCGCCTCATGCTAACTTTTTCCTTTGCAAGCGCTCCTGACCGTGTAAGTGCACATTCTTGAGCTCAGCCAGAGGCAACGGATGACAGGAAGGCAGGAAGGAGCCAGCCAGCTGCCAACAACAATCTAGAAGAGCTTTTGTCTACTCTGAAGGGTCTGAAAGGCCAGGAGAGAACTCTCTTTCAAGGAACGAAAGAAACGGAAAAAACACAAAGAACTGATGGGCCCTATTCAATTATTCAAAATGGCTGCAACAATAGATAAGAACTTTTAATAGCATCAAGCTGGATAAACGAGTGCGAGTGCGAGTATGTGCATATGAATGTGAATGTGAATGTGAATGAGTGGGAAACCACCTCTCCACCTCTTTGTAGGCATGAGCCGAGCGTGCAGGCTTGTAATACCGAGCGGGAGAATACTCGCATCATAAGCGTATCTAGCGTGCTCGGAGGCATTCATTTGAATAGCCTCTTTAGAGATCGGCTCTTCTTTTTCGACTGTGAAAGAATTTGAGTACAATTTTCATATCATGCAACTACAAGCATTGAGTGGACTATAAGCGAATCTATTCGTACCAAGCACTAACATAGTACATATGTACATATGTACTCCCGAGTACCAATTAGCATGGCATGTGTAAATTTAGATCGAAAGTCTCTCGAGAAGCGTCGCAAGACGAAAATAATTGTCTTTTGCATAAATGGCACCTGATTCCGCTACACATACAATAATACATATATATTTATGTACATGTGTATGCAAAAGATGCAATTTAGAATTCATTTATATGTCTCTTCATCCGAGGAAACTATCTCGCACAGCTTTCGGATGCAGGCTTGTATCTATCAATATTGGTTCAATAGATTGGTTCGATATTGGATTCAAGGAAAACTCCTCTTCCCGGCCTCCTTATAGGGTACTGCGGTGATAGTTTATATAGGAATGTGGAAAATATTCAGAGAGTAATTACCACAACATTTTCTGGATATACAGACAGCCAGTCAGACATGATTTATCGATTTGGCTATTGATAATGAAAAAAAAAAATAGACCAATACACATTTGTGCTTCAATTACAAGGTACAAAATTATTTGTTAGCACCTCTTGAGAAACGCCTTTTTGGCCCCGAGGAAAAAAATGCGAGTATGGTGTCATAAAAGTAGCTCCCATGAGCTGACATCCAATTCGAAGTCAGCCAACCAATCAATCTCCAGCCCTTTAGGAGAATCCACTGGTTCGAATAATTTGCAAGGCACACAATGGTCGAGGCCCTCGCTGCTCAGGGTTCTCTGAGTGCGGAAGTTGGCAAATAAAAATCAATTCTGCGTTAAAATGTTTATTAACTTCAAATCGAGTTGAGAATTGAGAGTCCTTGTGATGCCCTTTTTGGTGTTTGCACACATTTTAATAAACTACAGTATTTTATAGGAACGAAAGTGTATAGTAAGCGTATTGTTTGTCGGGTCGATTTTGTATGTACTCGTATGCTCATGTACATATAAACATTCGGTTCGTATGTGCATATTTGCAGTGTTTTCAATAATTGGCCGGGCCAATGGGAACAAGTACCGTCCTCCATTGAGGTAGATTGCTTCTGGGGCTTCTGACCGTTCTGTGGCTGTCGGGGGGCTTCAGTTTCCTTGCACTTCTATTCGTTTTTGCCATTTATTATTATTATTATTAAACTAAAATAAATTGGTTGATTGTTTGTTCAACAGAGTGTTGCTTTTAAGGGGCCTTCCTTCTTCGCACCCCACAGCGATTTATTGGGAAAAGGGCACGGAATTATTTGTTCCCTGGCTTCTAGAGCCCCGCAGAACACATGTTTTACTTTTGTGTTTTCGTAAGCAGTTTCTGGGTCTTACTCCTACCCACTTCCCGGAAGCTCTGGGAGGGACTGGGAGGGCGACAGTCTCCCGCCCAATCAGTCCCCGGCTCCTCGCCGCCCCGCCGCCACGACGGCCGGTCTCTTTGTCTGTTTGTTTGTTTGCACATTCTTAACTGGCAATCAGGCCAAAAAAAGGGGAGTTGACGAGGCCTCGGGACTCAGACCTCGGGCCTCGGGCTTTGGGGGTGTGAGTGCGAGTGGGTCGTACTGGGGGCTTGCTGCTGAAGGGCTTTCGTGTGAGTGCGTGCGGCTGTTAAACAACTTTTGTCATTTTGCTAATTTAGTATTATTTGCCTTTGTCTACAAAGCATTGGATGGACGGACTGCGGGTGTTCAGGGGCCTGGAGAGGGATAATCATTGTAAACACGAATGATAATAGTTAATGCTTTTATAAGCACCTGGATCTCGAATCTTGCATCTGCAGTGTAAATGGCTCATATGCATTTGTTATTATCCATGCAAATCCAATGAATTTAAACGTTATTGATACCTCCGCAATGAAATGAACAAATCCAATTATTCAAAATACATAAATATGGACTTATGCTTAAAAAGGATATCGCTTATTCCCTTGAAGACTCTGCCCGGTTCCGACGAGTAACCTGTCCTGTGGCTATATTCTATCACATATCAATGCTAATTATGAGTAAATATACTTTATGATATCGGAGATTCTTGCTCATTCTTGCCAAGTTCAGACTGTGCTATTCCTAAGATAGCGTTTCCCAAAAAGCTTCATAAATGAGAGATTAATATGTGGAAAGACAAGGCCATGTCGACTACTTCGCTCTTCTCTGTTTGGCACCGTCCACCCTTTTATGTCCTTGCTGAGGAGGTCGCACTGGTCTTGACCAGATGCTTGCAACGCACAAAAAGATGATTTCCCGGGTGCATCCAGCCGCGCCCGTGTGCCTGTCTCCCCGTGTCGGCAGTAATTATATAAAATTATTCTACTGGATTCCTTTTGGATGCTTAGACACTTGCCGGAGTCAGCTATTTGGATTTGGCGCTTCTCCAATTTTTCTTGAGGCATCCGGCGGCTTACCCATGTTTGCTGGCATCTTTTCCCCACTCTTTCCGCCACGGTGTAT